TTCCTGCTCTCTGTCAGCAAAAAAATGTTTGCAATGTCAAGTAGTAACTTTATAACTAGCTACCTAAATTGTTGATCTTGTGTCGGTACCAAAGGCTGAACCCTGGTTGAGTGGTTAGAGTTATTAATTACGACTTTGCAACTCTAAACCACCTGGCCAAAGAACTTGGTTCGTTTTAATTGTTGATCTTGTGATGTTTTTAGAATCTGGTAATTATTAAAATCTCCCTTTGTAAGTACCTTCGGTTGTCTTTCCAGATCTTTAATGAACTAGAGCGGGCCTTTTCGGCTCCAAACAGGAGAAAACTCAACTGGTTTGGATATAATTAGTGTTTAGATTTTAATCACGTTAATAAGCCTTGCTTCCTGGTGCCTAGTGCAACGATTTCCATGAACAGTACAATGCAAACAGCGATGCTCATCGAAGTCATCTTGGACAATGCTAGCACGATATGGCTGCTGGGCCTTGTATGTGGCAACCAAAGCAGGCCTCAAATCCCAGTAAAACCAAAGCAGCATGACTGAAACATGACTGAGAATAAATAGTATAACTTAAGCATGTAACTATAGTGTATATTTTTCCATCTTGACTCTTTTGATTAGCAGGATGGAGATCTCGAGGAAGAAGCTCGGGAGCGGGATGAACTTCAACCACCATTGAAACGCTTGTGCTCAAAGCAGACAAGATTGGGAATCACCCCTCTCTCTTCATGAATGTGATCCTAGAACTCCAAAAAAAACAAATTGCATCCCCCAGACCTTTGGCTGGCCAAAGAAGCTCTAATCCATCAGATTCGTGCCGTATAGACAAAATTGATGCTCTCAATAGTGAGAATGCTCTTCTAGAAGAGAAGCTAAGGCAAGCCAAGGAAGAGGAGCAGAAAGAGAAAGGGGAATCGCAGTTGCAAATCTGAGGCTAAATCCAGGGCTGAACAGGCTGAGGAGATTGCTAGAGGGAACTCTGAGCTTAACCGCCTACACTATGATGAAGAGTCCATCATTAACTATTGGAATCAGAGAGGTTTCAAAAACTACAGGAAATGACTTCCATCAAGCTGGAGATAGATGTTCGGAAGAAGATCGCCAATAGCATCCTAGATGGAATCTGAGCTTCTTGGATGAATGCTAAGATCCCAGGCCTAGTCTACTCCGATTACTGAGCCTTGTGTTCTCCCAAATCATTCTCTTCCCCCAAATATCCCAAGCATTGCTTTTGCTTCATCTCCTGTCAGCCTATTTTGAATGGGAAGGGTGGAGCTGGTTTTGAGCACCATAAAATTTCTAAACGAAATGTTTACTAAATTCTTCAGAAAACAGAAATTACGACAATAATCTGCTGAAAAGAAAACGTCGAGTGGACAGACAATCCTCCACTAGGGAAGTAAGAACAACCCAACTGGTGGCCGGATTTGTATCATCAAAGCACGGTTCCATAACGAGTCCTGTCCTCCAGTAGCAAATATTTTCAATTTTGGAAGAGTAATGTTTGTGGGGACAAAAACTGGGTTCGCAGCCCACTCAAACCATCTCAAACTTGTATGAGATTAACAGAATTCGAGTAAAAATAAAGCTACTCCAAAATGCAGGCATCATCTGAGATAACTCATCTTTCTAGAACCAGAAGGGAAGACCGGACAAATAATTCGTAATTTTATCCTGTCTCCTTTTCCACACTACATCCTGGTAAGAGAAGAGACAGCCTTCTCGCTAAAATACCCAATTTACAAGAAAGAATAACCCTCTGATCTATCCTCATTGCCCTTTCTTATATTCTCCATTAAAATGCATACAATTGTCCAAAGGAAAGGGCCAAAGGAACTATAATATAAACAACTCATATCCAGGAAAAATTGGACTGTAAATGAGCAAGTCTAGAAATATCATTAATGTTTCCACGTAACAAGATCCATAATAATTGGTTTCCGTCACTAACTATGAAAATAATCAAAAGCCACAAAAAAAAAAAACATAAAACTGCGAAACTGGAGCAAATTTAGGAACTTTTAAGCTAATGAAAAGCTCAGGAGTGAACAAATCTTAGGCTGTCTCCTTTCTGAGTTTAGCAAGCTCCTGCCTGACAATTCCTGCCTTCTGCAGAATGTGCGCAATTATAGCATGTGTCAAGTTGGTGTATATATTTGAGTAAAATGGTTCATCGAAACAAATGCAATACCATTTTAAATTGATAAAACTTCTTGACAAGCATTCATGACATCTATGAACAAGCATTACTTCCATAAGTATGTTCTACAGGCTGATCACTAACAAAAGATAGGCTACAATGAACATGGAATATAAAAGGCAATGCAGGTTCAAGTCTAGTCCTTTTAGACTGCAATGGTCAGATGTGTTTAATTTATCAGGTAAGTTCAATTATATACTCCCCATTCATAGCTGGAAGTTAATACTTCAGCATAGCCTACAAAGATGGGGTCAGATTCTGCTAAGGCTCCAAAGTCCTACTGGGCAACTGATACCAGAAAGACGCCATATAGCACAAGTTTGAACATCAACATGTGGAGAATTCAACATCCGAGGCAGATGTGTTTAACCATAAATGACAATACTCTATTATAATATTCTAAGATATTTAAAGCGAACATTAACCAGTATGCCAGTTTTAGAAAAACAAGGGCATACAATAATGACTATTACAAAAGACAAGATTGGAGAATTGCAAACCTTGATCTTTGCCAACATGAGCTTGAACCTATCAAAATCATTAAGTGATGCCCTTCTCTTCTGCACAGTGAGTCTCCTGCCCCATGAACTGTTCTCCCACTTGTTCTTCACATCTACCATCATGGAATAACAGTTTGAATTCAGTGGGGAGAAAGAAAATTAAATAAGAAAGTAAGTATAAATCTAGCCAGAAACCAACCAGCCTTCTCCATGGCTTCAATTAGAGCCTTCTTCTTGGGAACCCTGTTGATCTCAATCTTGATATCAGTGAGTGAAAGCCTCTTGAAGTTCATTTGACTCCTAACCATATCTGGAGCATCTACCAGAGCCTTTAGCAACATCAAAAACAAAATTCACCTTTTCATTAACGAACATAACTGGATCTTGTCGATGAAACCACTTATTAAATGCTAAAGTAATTACTTTCAGAAAACCCAAATAACCAAACCCAATATCAAATCCACTTAATTATATGAGCATTACACGTATGCAATAATTTATAGCCTAAAAAGTATTCAAAGGATCCTTAGTCCACTAAGCTACAATAATCTATCCTATTTTTAATCACCCTCAACAGAAATTAGCAGAAGGAAAAAAAACCGAAGCTTAACAAGTGTTGGAAACAATTAGCTTTATCTACGAACATTCAAGGCAAACGTAGAGAGAAGATTACGCACTCTGTTTTGATCGATGACATCGACTATAACAACGAGCTTGCCGTAATCCTTGCCGTAGTTGACAAGAGCCACTCTCCCAATCTCAACGTACCTCTTGAACGGCTACACAAATAAATAAACAAACAAACACAAAAAAACAGGGAAAGCGTAAGAAAAATGGAAAAAGTAATAGAGCTATGGATTTTCTCGGAAGCCAAACAGAGAAGATAGAGAAACCCTCTCACCATTTTTGGCGGATCTGCTGAGAATCGACAGAGAGAGAGGCGACCGCTGAGGTGATGGAGAGAGGTAACCAGCGAGGTTATGTAATATTAGTAGCGCTGCTGCTGCTAGGGTTTTTCGTTTTGGACGTGGTACGCTTGAGTGTGTTCAAAATGTAGACGTGGCTTCTCACTATTGGTCTCGCTTAGAAACTTTCGGCTATTTTCGTCACGTCCTTTCTTTATCTTCTATTCTTATATGTGTCTTGTAAGTTATAATTGTTTCGGTTTTGGGGCGTGTTTCCCTTTCGACCCATTGTTTCTTAAATTCTATAATTGCCCCGCTTTATGGGAGAATCTTGTAAACAGGACCATCAATTTTGATTACTCAAATTGTTCATGACATTAGAAGGAACATTGTCCAAGGATTATTTAAAAGTGATTTATGAAAATTCTTAAAATATATTTCTTGACTTTGATTTGGGTTCCAAGGCCTATTAGCTCAATTGTTTCTTACCATTAGCATTATGCATGCTTGAAAATGCAGTCGTTTCATGTAATTTAAAAGTGAGTTATATTTTTTAAATGTATTAAATTGATGTTAAAAATAAAAAATTATTTTGATATATTTTCAAATAAAATATATTTTTTAAAAATATCATGTATTATATCATTAAATATATATGCTTTTTAAACCCATTTTGATGGGTCTAATTTTAGATATTTTTAATGTTATTTATCGGGAATTAAGCTTTTTAAAATAATATATATATATATATATATATATATATATAAAGAAAAAATATTTAGTTGAAGTTAAAGAGATAAATATATAAAATAATTATGATTCTTAAAAAAATTATATTTTTAAAATAAAAAATAAATAAATAACATGTTTAATTATCTTTTATTTTTTTATATTTTTAGAGAATAACCAAATGTTTTCTATAAATGAGGTTTGCTAGGGTACTGATAAAATATTTAAAAATATTAAAACTTTGGTGAGACATGTCAAGGGCAATATGGTCAAATACAAAAAGGGGTGAGATCAACATGTCAAGGGATGAGAAAAATTAAACATGAGAAATCCTAAGCCTGATTACCAAAGAAATTGGAAGAGTTGTCATTTTTCAAGCTGAGAGTTTTAAAAAATTCAAAACAATGAATTTATATCTCGAAGCGTACCGTTCGTTTCGCTCCTCTTTCCATTGATTGATTTTGCAATTTGTGTTTTCTACGATCCTCCTCGACGGACGACGGACATCATTGAATTCTTTTATTATTGTTTTAGTAACCAGCAATCCGCCAGTTCTCGAACAAGGTACTAATAATATTCGACAGCCAGTTATCTTACCCTGCCTGGAATATCAAGATTCTTCGTTTTTTTTATTCCCTTCATAAACAAGACAGTTGGCTTGAAATTAATGGTGGGATCCTAGCATTGTCGATTGACATTCATATCATGTAAAGAAATCAGATGCATTGTTATTAAGTTTGCACATGTCTGTCTGATGATGGCTTTTAGAGATCAAATCTTTGTCCTGTAGGGTGTAAATGTAATATGCTCTTCTCATCGTAGTTAATGTTTTTGGAATCTTTTTGATAAATGTTAATGGAAGTGCTTCGCTGATATTGTCTTCTGTTTTCTGGCTTTTTTTTTTTTTTCTCTAATTGGATTTTTGCTGTGGCAATGAACAAGGGATGAGGTAAATTTGGATGGTTGGTTGTGGGGGATTGTCAGAGATTGTTGATATTATGAAGAGAACAGGAGCTGAGGACTTGGGGGATTTCTATCCAATCCGACCTGATTGCCAAGCTGATACTCCAAAGCCCCGTTTCAAGCCCAGGGTGGGTGGTCAGCTTTTTTCGTTTCCTTCCTTGCTTCCTTTTCTTTTTGTGAATTAGTTTCGTTATAACTAATCCTTTGTATTTATTGTCTCTTTTGTCAGGAATTTGTGCTCATGTGATGTGATGATTTTTATTTTTGTTATTATTGAGGATTTTACTTGTGAATTAGTTTTACTTGTTATACATCTCTTTGTGGCGGCACCATGAGACATGCTTGGATACGTTAAGCAGGCTTAGACATGCTTGGATACTTTAAGCAGGCTTTGTGTAGTGCTTTCCTCTTATGTTTGAAATAATCTTTTTTTACAGGCTGGGAAAACTCTTAGTGAAAGAAGGTGGAATGCTGCGTTCTCTGAAGATGGTCATTTGGATATCGAGAAGGTGCTTAGACGGATCCAACGGGGGGTACGGATCTCTTTTTCATTTTTATCTTAGCTTGTCTGAAATAGTGATGTTTATATACAGAGCGGTCATTGTCAGTATGTTTATGTTCTCCAATGCATTATGAGTGAAAACTTCTATTCCAAAGGTAGAGTGTTTATCTTAAGTGTGTTTTTCCATATTAGGGTGTTCATCCTGCAATTAAAGGGTCGGTATGGGAATTTGTGTTAGGATGCTTTGATCCTAATAGCACATACGAAGAACGGAATCAGCTCAGGCAACGTAGGAGGTAATGCTTTCCTTTGTATTGTATTAAACCTACATGCATGCAAGTCTTCATTTTAATGTATGATTCTGTGTGAGAATGTATGAGCCATCATATGCTGCTTTGGCTGGCTTTGAAGTTTTTCTTTGTTGCAAAACCATATTCATAGTGCATGTTCAAAATAAAAGGACTATAATAGACTTTTATTGGAATCCCAACTTCCCCCCCCCCCCCAGCATACACTCTCTCTCATACTAAAACATATTTTTGTTAGTCACAGACTGGCCTGTCGAACCATTTGACTGACAAACCTGTTGACTTCTGAGGTTGACCCCCACTTTCCGATGTCTGAGATGACATTAGAGCATCTTGTATGTTTTCCAATATGACTTTGTGTTCAATTGTTATTCTCTTTAGGACATACCAGTCCTTTTTTTTATATCTCAATTGCTTTCAGTTTCTCAGCATCAACTTTTGTGCCTTGGCCAAAGTGATTATTCTGTGACTTTGACACTTTAGGGAGCAGTACATCAGGTGGAAAGCTGAGTGTCAACACATGGTTCCAGTTATTGGCAGCGGAAAGCTTATCACAACTCCCATTATTACTGATGTTGGGCAACCAGTAATTGATTCTGCAATAAATAGTTCTTTTTCAGACAAGAGATCAATTCAATGGATGCTTGCTTTGCATCAAATTGGTAGGTATATAATCTCTAATTCTTTAGGGAGATGATTTTTCCCTTTCCTGTCACTGGTTTTTGGAAAATGAATTTAGACCTTTATTGTGGTTGCTCTCCACTCAATGATTAGTAAATATCCTTTCACTTACAGTGCAGAAGCAAGTAGTCTATCTACACAACTACTACTTAGCAGTGATTCCCTGTTTATCAGACAACCCCATTATTTAGTGTGTTTTTTTACGGACATGAGAGTGTCCATCTTAAATTCTTGAAGCAAAGAACTTGGGCCTGTGGTGCCAGAGTCTTGGTCCCTAAGGCAATATCCACGATGGAAAAACACTAAACTTAAGTGTTCTTGCCAAATACAGTCGCAATATCAGTTCACTTTACTCAAGTCCTTATGGTTTCTTTCTAATCAGCAACCTTGTTAAATTTTGACTTTGCTTAACATAGCTAGTGGAACGTCTTATTGTAGGTTTGGATGTTGTTCGCACAGATCGAGCTCTTGCTTTTTATGAAAGTGAAAAAAATCAGGCAAAACTTTGGGATATTCTTGCCGTTTATGCTTGGGTGGATAATGATATTAGTTATGTCCAAGGTAAATTGTTTTTAACTGTTTCATTATCCATCAAAATAAATTTGTTCATATGATGGGATAGTTATTTTGAATTCTTTCTTGTGTAGGAATGAATGATATTTGCTCTCCAATGGTAATTCTTCTTGAAAATGAAGCAGATGCCTTTTGGTGTTTTGAGCGTGCAATGCGGAGACTGGTATGCAATTTATAATAATGTGGTTATCACAGCTATTGTTTTGGTAGCAATGATGCCCCTAGCTTTCCTGTACTGCTTTCCTGTTGAGTTTGTTGGTGATGGATGATAATTTCTATTGTAACGGTATTGATAATTAGGTCAATCTAGTTCACACTCACACCGTTGTTCTGATGCTTTAGCTTCCTGCAATTACCAAGAAAGCATACACATATCCAAATGCAAGAGATACGAATGAAGTCATAATTTCAATATTTAAATTTTCCATGAAGGTGACGCTATTCATCTGGAATTTGGGCTGTTAAGAGATATGGTTAGGGAATGAATGCTGTTGAGATGAGATACTGAAATGGGTGGTTGGCTAGATAAAGCTGTAGTTTGGAGACTATGGTAGTGTTGAAAAGATGTTGAGTTTATGCTGGGACCACTATGTCATGTGTTATGGGGTTTAGTAACAGTTTTTTCTGTGGTTGGAGTAATATGTTTCGAGTTAGTTTGAAGCAAAGTTGCCTGGGAGGCTAATGTAGATTTGGTGTTGTGCGAAATGGCATGTAGGCATATAGATACATTCCAATAAGTATCATAACTTCAACATCATAACTTGGTTGAAGTTATGGATGATTTGAGATTTCAGGCTGTTTTCTTGTGTCTGTCTTAATGAAAATCACAAGGCTGCATGCTTATTTACACATTCAGTAGCAATAACCAACATATACCTGTTATAGTGGGATTTTTTTAATTCTTCCTTCCAGGATAAATGTGGCAAACATTCCACTCCAGGGGCAGATTTTACCGCTTTCTACATTTTATATCAATGCAATGTAATTAGTGTGTTGGTATTGAGAGAGCGTGGATGTATCTGATTATTATCAATCCACTTTATAAATAGCAGGTAGCAAATGGAGTTCTAATAATCCAGTCATATTGTTCATTTAAAATTGTCTGTTGCTTCTTGGTAAGAAGACTTGCATCCATGGTTCTAGTTTTCAGAATTAATGCCAATCCGCATACCTGTGTTATAACAAATCAAACTTAATGCCTAATTGTCTTATACATGTTTTCAATGAACTTAGCAGTCTTATTTGTACGGATCCAACTTCTGTCCTCTTGATTCCACTCATGAGATATACAAAATTGTTGAGCATAACTCTCCCTATTGAACTCTAGTTTTGTCGAGACATGGATATACAAC